CGTTATAGCGTTTGTTTTAGCACGAATGTCGAAATCAAGTGTATCGTGAAGTTATATTCAGAAAGAATTAAACCAGTTTTATTAAGTAAGGACTTGTGTCACTAAAGTTTCGTCAGAACGAAGTTACAGAAAGTTAATTAACAAACGGAGACGTAACAATACCTTCCAAATGATCCAGTATAAAAAGATTATGTATCTTGTAAAATAATGTTGTAACTAAAGATAAGGTTGTACAAAATTATGTTTCTAAGGTTTGCAGGTGCTTTATGAATCACATATTTGTCACAAAAATGTTTCAGAAGTAGAAAAATTGTGTTAATTGTGATTTTTTTTCTCCAAACTTACAGTTCAGGACAAAAGAGTGGTCTGAGACTATATTAGAGTATCGTACCAAGAAGCCACAGAGGTTACCCATTGTAGATATTGCTCTTCGTGATATTAGGTCAAGAAACCAGCAATTTGCCCTAAATCTAGGACCCGTTTGCTTTTTTTAAACATGTTTTTTAGCTGTTTTGTATTGGGAAGAAAACATTTATAGGCATTACATAATAAATGCATGTTTATAATATATAATTATTTCACAATTTTATTTTTGATAAACATGTGAATATCTGGTTACTGACTGTGTCACCACAAATGACCACTGCCATTAGTGATTGTGTATGTGATTTTTATCCAGTAATAAAATCATTTCTAGCTTTTATGAATATTTGTTTATTTATATTATTTTCCATATTCCATCTTTAATGCTAGCTATTGGCTGTTAACTGTATTCCATAATTTTTGCTTCTAGTTGCTTTTATTTTTTTTAAGAAATCAGTTCCTGAACATTTAATATCTGATATTTTATTTTTTGGACTATAAACTATGGTCATCCTGATATTAATTACATTATACTAGACTTCTTGGTATGACCATTACGTACATATAACAAGATCACGTGCCACTTTAAGTGATATGTTTTTACTGTCAACACTTTCACCAGAACTCCTTTACTTTGCAATTAATGCTGAAAAGGAGGCAACTCTACCAATAACAAGATGATGACTTACCTCAAAATGTAGATCATTCATGAGAATTTACTGATGCATGAATACCCACATTATATTTAACCCTCAAATTAATGACTCGCTTAAATATTGTTCACTAATGATGAGATCCACATGTGTATCATACTGGGTAATTTCACTTTTTTGTCTGTGCAAAGAACAGACTACAGAAATTGGGTGAAATCACTCACTTTCTATGCAAAATATAAGAGAATCTCAAAAGTTATTAGTGCATTAATGCAGTGTTGAGGGTATTTTGCAACTCATATATTATTAGAGATATTGTAATGAACGAGGTGTGGGACATAAGTTGTTTTGAAAACGTTTTTAGGATCCATTAGTAATTCACAGATTAAAAACAAAGAAGTTCGAGCTGAAGGTTGTCCATGTTCTTCCAAAAAACCTGGGATGAGACTATTTTTTGTGAATAAAGAATACCTAATCCTTTTATGTTCTTTGACTATAAACAAGGAAATCATAAAGGTTTAATACCAACAATGTTCTGTTTCTTCAACAAATAACTATGCATCAGTGGTGTATATCCATTACACAAAAATATGAAAAGGGACTAAAATTACAGTAAGCTAAAAACTGAAGGACATTATGTACAGTGGATAAATATAAAAATATTAAACAAAAACTGATTAACTTGTAACTCAAATCTAGTCCTGGCACAGTGTGTACTTCTGTTTATGGTAAATCTACTAACATCATCTGCTACTAGCCCTAAATCTAGTCTTGGCATCAGTGTGTATTTGTGTTTAACTTGTAACTCCAATCTAGTCCTGGCACAGTGTATACTTGTGTTTATGGTAAAGCTACTAACACCATCTGCCACTGGCCCTAATTTTGAACTACTGATCAGAGGGAAGTCAGCTGCATTCTGCCATCCATGATAAGGGGCTGACTGTCACCCAAAACTTGTGAAGAGAATATTTGTGATATCATACAGATTTGAACCTGGCTTGCTAGTTCCAAACTTCAGAACTCTACTTACAGATAGAGCCAATCCATACACCAGTGTGTACTTACTACAGATTATAATTCATAATCTTCACATATTTAAAGTGTGTATTTTCTAAATAATGTTATAATTTATTATCTTCACCTGTGGCCAGTGTGTGTATTTTCTGAAGAATGTTATAATTTATTATCTTCACCTGTGGCCAGTGTGTGTATTTTCTAAAGAATGTTATAATTCATTATCTTCACCTGTGGCCAGTGTGTGTATTTTCTAAAGAATGTTATAATTCATTATCTTCACCTGTGGTCAGTGTGTGTATTTTCTGAAAAATGTTATAATTCATTATCTTCACTTGTGGCCAGTGTGTGTATTTTCTAAAGAATGTTATAATTCATTATCTTCACCTGTGGCCAGTGTGTGTATTTTCTAAAGAATGTTATAATTCATTATCTTCACCTGTGGCCAGTGTGTGTGTATTTTCTGAAGAATGTTATAATTCATTATCTTCACCTATGACCAGTGTGTATTTTCTGAAGAATGTTATCATTATTGCACTTTTTTTTTTATATATAGAAAACTACAAATTACAGCAATTTTTCACAACAAAATCAGTAAACCTTTTATTGATTGAACACAGCTCTATCAGCACAAATATTGTTCACACAAACACACAGTACTATGTAAAACAGTCTCAAAATGACAACAAAAAAGTTGAAAGAAAAACCAGTTGTAGCTCTTGACTGTAAATAGTAGAACAATATGAATTTCAGAGAATTGAATATTATTCTTTTATAAGTTTATTTTTAACAACTGCATTTATCTATGTCAGAGAAGTAATCTAGGTACTAGTTCTTTAGAAGAAGTACATAACTAAAATTAACATTCCATCCATTTCTGTAAATTATCTTGAACCATTTATTTCTAATACTGTAATGACCACCAGATGGCTTCTCTTAAAAGACATACAATTACTGTATATATATAAAAAACAGGAAATGTCATTATAAAACTCCTAAGCTCAAATAATATATTGAAACAAACTTAAAAATGTGTTCATTTAAAAAAAAAGAGAGAGAAATTTTGTTAATATTTAACAAAATATCATTCAAAGAAACAAAAAAAAAGCTTAGAGAGCACCTTGAATTTTTAACATGACATAAGATATGAACTTTTTTTTTCTTATATTATAGCTGACCTAATAAAACGATCAGGATTTAAAATTTGAGCAATTATCTAATCAGCTGCACTGTGAAATATAGAATCACCCCATAAAGTATTTCCAGTGTTCTATAAATGACAAATACTATTTAGTCACATCGCATGTTAGTGGTACATAAAGAAAAATGACTATTTTGTATTAGCTCCTGAGCACTGTAAATGACCAAAAGTGACCATGTAATAATTGGTTTAATATAACAATTATACAAGTTTTTTCAGTTAAGTATTGTGCACTGCAAACCATATGGTTTACCTTCAACTTACCTCTAATGGTTTAAATTGTAACTTAAACTGTACTATGTAACTAATTTCAACTACTATGAAGTCATCTTCACAAAATATATAATATATAAACAGAATATATTTTGTGAAGACAATACACGAGTCAAATATGAATAAAGACTAGAAAAAATGGGATGGCATAAAATTTGAAGTTACTCTTGAATAAAAAAAGCCATTCACAATAATTAATTTTTTTTTTTTAACTTAAACTGTAGCTAATTTTGTATTTAATTCTTTACAGGATTAAATGTCAATTTAAAGTTGCCCTTTGGTTGAAATACAAGTCCTAAGTGACTCACAGTATTTGAAATAACTTCCATAAAATCTCAAAATCCATGTAACAAAAGACTAAGAAATACATTTTATATCACAGCAGCCATGCAGAGAAGGAATAAATCAATCACTAGATGGATGGTATCATATTTCTAACACTTCTACTTGAGGAAGACATTTAAAAATGGCACTAACAGCTACAGTCAGGTAACATTTGGGAAAGATAACACAAGTTAAACTGTTCAAGAACATTCTAAAATACATTTGTTTGTACTCAAATGCTTAGGCACAAGAAAATATTAAATCTTAGGCCAAATTTTAAACATGTAATTATTCAGCATGCACATCATTTTCACTGAAAGAACAAAGTATTTTGAAAGAACCTGGATTAACTAGTGTGACTTCTTTCTAGCTCAAAACATATCAACTAAAAACATATGTTACACTAATAAAATAATCAGAAGTAAAGTATTGAGTTAAACTATATCTTGGCCATTCTGAAAAATATATATTAATTAAGAATAACATGAAAATCTTTGCAACATACTTATGACAAAATAAACTATAAATATACTTACAGTAAGAAAAATTACTTTCCTTTAAGTAAGTTGAATTTAATGATTAATGTGTGGGTTTATTATAACACCACTAACATGGAAGAGTATTTTTACGACATTCAGGAAACTACTTAATGGATACTTGTAAAGAAAGTAAATTCTCTATATTTGTAGTAGACAGTACACTATAGAACAATTCTAACCTTCAATATATATCTATATCTAAATATTACAAGTATATCCCATGTTATACGTTTGAAATGGAAAAAACTCCAGCCAAAACCAAAGCAATCTGAGGCAGGTATTTTGGAAGAACTTACATTAACTTACACAACCTCTGAAATTTGAATATCTAAACTTTCCTTCTTAGGATTTGTTTTTTCATTGTGTTCAGCATTAATTAAGAATGCATAATACATATACAATTCAGCATTGTATATTTGTTATTTCTTTCTTCAATATAATACATATATATATATATATATATATATTTATATACGTGTTATTTGAATTTTTCTCTAAATTACAGATATAGGAAATCACATCAAAAATCTTGGGATAAGACGATCAATAACAAATATAACCAAACACATACACACACTATATATTAACAGAAAAAACACACCACAGATACTCTTCAATTTCTAGGTTAGAATGAAATTTATCTAAAAATAAAAATATAATTTTTAGCTAAAAATAGCTAATTTCTGAATAAAAAGATGATCTCACCTCGGGGACCTTGAACCTAACAGCAATTCATACTTAATTAACATATATTCTTCAAATCGAATCTTTTTTAATTTCAATCAAATATTTATTTTCGCTTAATACCATGATCCTGAGTTACAAAATTAAAACCACTCATAAAAGTGTCTAGTATACTTCAGTGTTGTTTTGTTATTTGTGTAAGTCCCACTATGAGTGAAAACATGCTCCATTTGGAAAGTTAAAATTGAGAATGTTTAATGCTTTCTCTATTTGTAATTGTTATAATGTGGCATTTTTAGAAGTTTTATAGTAACCCTCTGGGTTATAATTAATGACTTCTAGTGAATATATATCCTAAGGCATTAATCTAGATATGAAATTCTATTCAACTATACAAATATTTTCCTTCATATCATAAAATGAATTGTACAAGTACCAAACCTACTGTCAGTGTATTCTGAGGTGGACACAGACCATGGTTTTTAGATAATGTGACAGATAACTTCTGAACCATCCTTATGTAAATGTTCTAAGTACTTACTGTCTCAGACTGCTGCTGATCAGAAACTGTGGGATATTGTGCTTGTTGTAAATAAAGATCTTACTGAAAATTGATGGCATAACCTGTACTTTAGTTGTTTGGTTTCTATTT